AGAAGAGCATTAAAACCAAAGTATGCGCCCCTGATCACTTAACCACAGAAATACTAACTAACCTGTATAACTATGTTTTAAGCAAATTGAACAGTGTAAAATTAAATTTAGAAAGTGGAGTAATATAGAATATAACAAGGATAACCATAACAGCCTACTTCTTTTACAAACCAAGATTCACAATAACCTCAGGTTCAACCGTACTCAACGTCCCAAGCCAAAGGTCTGGGTTTCAAGTAAGTAGACTCAGTCTTGTGCACGTCGCCAGCCACGACACGTAATATACATGTAGAAACACTTCTTTAACCCTTTTCTTGCCTACTGTGATGGTTGATGACCAGGCAAGGGTCAGAAGGAAAGGTCTTGTTTTATGAAAATGTTCTCACAGATCCGGCATTGACGGACGACTCGAATTAATATTGTCAATTCTAAACTGCATATGATATAGATTTTTATCTTAGAGAAATATAAAGTATACTAATGTCAATTTTGTCAATTCTAACAGATATACTATGATCTAAATAATAAATAATGTATTTCATGTATGTAGTTAAACAAAAGAAATATTGATTATTATACCACATGCATTAGCGATAAATAACAATAGCAGACCGGTTATAGAATATTATAGACCTAGATGTAATCTACTTACCAAATAAAACATTACCAATTCCATTATAAGTCTGTTAGCAGTAAAATAAAAGTAGATGGTGATATTGTATCGCCCACATTAATTTAGCACAGAAATTTTTTACCCGTTATAGAATTACATCTTTCATTACTAACACACGGCGTGAACAACAAAACCTAATATGGGAAACAATTTTGTTATTATTCTATTACTATCATCAAATTCAAACTTTGTCATTTCAAGACACCGAAATGTCGCACATTATCAGTCAAATCTAGATATAGATCGGACCGTGAACTGGCCGTTGGAAAAATAGATTATGCAGTGAATTGTGTACCGAACCTTTTCGAATATAGTAACAAAATTCATCGGCATTTTTTTTTTACCTACCATGGAAGTATGAAGCTATGATTTTTAAGCTATAAAAAGGAACCAAGAAATTATGAATATCTGGATGTTTTTGTCTCTCCTCAAGATGTGGTATGTGACATCCTTGTTGTTATAGGTACCATTGATGCTTTATTCGAGAATACTGTAATAGTTAGTGTTTTATCATATATTTTAAAACAACAATAGGGATTATAAGATTTAAAATATATGATAAAACACTAACTATTACATTAATCCCTATTGTTGTTTTAAAATATATGATAAAACACTAACTATTACAATACCATGTATGGCTGTATTCATACTTATATGAAATGAAATGAAATGGGGTTTAACGTCCTACTGTTCTGCTCCTAACCTGGGCTAATGAAGACGGGCATACGCCATACAGTGTGCTATGAGGGAAATTTGGCCCGGGCAGCGGCACTACGGCCTACTCTTATATCGAATTCCAACTGCCAAGGGATCTTTTACGTGCACGCCATTGTGTACACGGGACCTCGGTTTTTCGTCCCATCCGAACGACTAGACAGCTTTCCTTGTCAGCCCCTCCGTCCTGCATCACTGACAAGGGAGAACCACGCCGGAAAATCTGGATGAACTTTCTCGGCCAATGCAGGGATCGAACACCCGACCTCCAGGCTAGGGAGCTAGCGTCTTACCCACTTAGCCACGTGATCCCCATTCATACGTATAAAGATATAAAAAATGATTGATATACTACATCATTTAAATTAATCTAATTGCCATCATGTCTGATTACCCGAAGGGTATGTTTCTGTTAGGTTTTGTTAACAATACCATGTCTGTCTGTCTAGATTTCATTTGTGAAGGTTTCACCGGTTTTTAAACGGTTTGAACAAAATGATTAAATGTCTTCAATGAAAGATTAAATAACACACTCTATCCACGAACTATTTAAACCAGTGGTTGCCAGGCAAGATACGCCCACATTTTGCAAGAGGTGGACAGAGAACAAGTTAAAAACAAATGTGACTTTGTGTACAATCAGGGGCCATAATCCAGGAAGTTGCGGTCCGATATGCACAAATGTCGAAAGGAACCAAGATCTTTTTGGATATAAAAGTCAGATAAAAAGTGTGACCTCTAGAGGGTCCACAACCTTGGTATTACATACTTTTACACTATTTGCGTACAAATATCGGACAGTTTTAATCCGATAATACGAAATTCGAACTCAAAGATCATTATGGTGTAACGGTGATATATTTAAACGGTTTTCAAAATCGGATAAAAACTGAGATCTCTATAGAGATCCATAGGCTAAAAATATAATCAGGGGCGATAATCCAGGAAGTTACGGTCCGATATGCACAAATATCGAGAGAAACCAAGGTCTTTTGACTATTAACATACATGTATATTTTAAGTGTCATCAACATCAGATAAATATTGTGACTACATACTTTTACACAATTTGCCTACAAGGAGCGGCCATTTTTATGGGGCAGTTTCGATCCGATTGTCACGAAATTCGAACCAGGGTGTAAACGGTGATAAATTTAAACGTTTTTTTTTTAAAATCGGATAAAAATTATTACCTCTAGAGGGTCCACAACCTAAATACGTGATTTTTTGTACAATCAGGGGCCATAATCCAGGAAGTTACGACAGGGGCCAAGACATTTGTGATATAAACATAAATTTAAAGATTCATCAACATCGGATCAAAATTGTGGCTTCTAGGGGGTCCACATCCTTCATGTACCATATATTTGCACTATTTAAGTACGAGGGGCGGCCATTTTTTCCGGCAGTTATTGGTCCGATTTTCACGTAAATCGCATTCCACCCTCATTAGGTGTAACGGTGATATATTCAAACGGTCTTGTAAATCGGATACAAATTGTGACCTCTAGAGGGACCACAAGCCAAAAACGAGATTTTTCGTACAATCAAGGGTCATAGTTCAGGAAGTTATAATCTGATATGCGCGAATATTGACAGGAACCAAGATCTTTGAGTTATAAAAATGTACTGCCAGTCTCATTAAAATCGAATCAAAATTGTGACCTCTAGGAGGATCCACAACCTTGATATAGCATATTTTTACACTATTTGCGTACCAAGGGCGGCCATTTTGTCCGGCAGTTTTGGTTCGATTTTCACGAAATTCGAACTGAACCAACATTGCGGTGTAACGGTTTTTTGAATCGGATAATAATTGTGACTTCTAGAGGAACCACAAGCTAAAAACGCGATTTTTCGTACAATCATGGGCCATAATTCAGGAAGTTATGATCCGATGTGCACAAATATCGAAAAGAACCAAGAGCTTTGGATTATAAATATGCATTTCACGTTTCATCAAAATCAGATAAAAATTGTGATCGTACGATCAAGGGCCATAATCCATGAAGTTTTGCTCCGATACATGCTAATATCGAAAGGAACCGAGACCTTTTGGAGATAAACCTATATTTCATCAAGTTTCGTCAAACACGGATAAGAATTATGACCTGTTGAGTGGCCACAAACAAATTGTGGACGAACAGACGGACGGGCAGACAGTGGCGACGACAATATAGTCCACATGAAAATGTAGGCGTATACAAATTTTCAAACTACGCCCGCTTCTAAAATGGATGGACGTCTTTGATTTGGACCAAAATCAAAAATCGGATTGATTTTTGAGTTTGTGCTAATCTGTCGACACAATCTGTCGACACAGTAGGCCTAAATTTAAACTAAAATTAATAAACAAGCCTAATCATTCGAAACATCAGCGTACAGCATATTACATATATTCCATACTTTTATTTTATTGTGGTTTGGCCCCTTCATTAAATAAAGGTTTTCAAAAATCACGAAAGTGTGCCCGCTTTTGAACGTATTTATATATGAGCAGATGAAGAATTAGTCTGATCAACAGCCTCAATTCACCATTTTTATCTCATAAACAAGACAATTATGTCAAGAAAGCCAGTCTTTAACGGCGAATATTTCCGTCAAAGACTTATTGAATATGCATGGGGATCATTTAACGCTTACCGCCATGTGATAACTATTATGAGTTATTGTTCTTGTATTGCAAACACACGATTATGTTATCGGGTCGTGAACATCTGGTGTAATATGAGTAAAGAGGATCGGAGGCGTTGTTTAATCAATCGATACTTATATTTGTGAAATTGTGAATAAACCGACTATTCAAGTTATGAGCTTAAGCGATGTTTGTTTACCTTATTTGATATAGCTATCCACAAAGTTTAGATTTTGGAGATCGAGAATGTTAGAATGTACAGTAACGAAGAGATACGATCGCCTCTCTTGGCTTTTCCGTATCTGAGTGCCTTGCTTTACTGGTCGATAGCTGTTTGATGCGGATCAATACGAGCGGTGTCGTGGAATTTAACTCCTATACAAATTGCTCCGCCTAGATGTTGGGTTTGTCGCGCGCCAGTTTAACATAGTCTTTAGCTTCATAGGCTTACTTCGTAAAAATTGAGATACCAGCTATGAAAGAATGCCATTAATTGGAATAAGCTTGCCACTTGGATGACTGGTTCCAAGACGCGGCGCGTGTGTTGCTGATTTCTGAAGTCACGCTGCCTAGTTCACTACCAAAAACACCCCGGGGGAGTGAGCTTAAGCTTCAGTGCTGTTTTTAGTATAGCAGTCTCGAAGAGAGAATCTTATTGACTTTAACGTTATGATGGCTGACAAATATAAACAGCAAGGATTTAACTACATAACAGGACTGTTCATTGTGATAACATGGTTTCAAGTTAATTGTTAGAAGATCTGTTGCAGCTTGGATTATCTAACTTGGCACTGGTTATAACTATATATTATTCAGATTATTGTATTGTGTGGAGGCACTGTTATTGTCTTGTGACTGGAATTTGTTTACAATCTGCACTAGAGCAAAACGATAGAAAAGCGGAAAAAATGAAGGTTGTTTTTTTTGGAATACTGAAATTTAACTATCCATAAATCTTTCATTTTGTAATACAAATTTCTTGTTGTTGGTTTCGCAGATCAAATATTTAATTAAATTCGGATCGCAATTAAGAATCAACAACGTTATCAGTTCACCAATATTTGTGTCACGATTTGTGAATCACTGAAGAATATTCAATTAGCGCCGCATCAATAACTAAGATACAAGAGAAACCAAACTGAGAAACCCGGGTTCAAAAGTGCACACGGTAATACCCGAATCGTCCATTGGTGTCTAGCTCATGTTAATGAAACCGATTGTACGCCGGTGAGAGAATAAAGACAGTTTCTGAACTGTCTCCAAGGACATCATACAGCTGTGAAGTCTTGGAGTTTTTGGAGACACGCATTTTGAATGACAGTTACTACCGATCTCTGGAACTTATCGTCTGACAAATTAATGCTAGTTGAGTCAGTCGATCGTTGAAATTTTACAGACTGGTGCGTCGATTAAGAGCCGTGAACAGTACTAATAGTATTTTGACATTAAAGACGACCATTCATGAAGTGGTGGCTATCTAAAAAGAGGTTTTAAGTGTTTACGAGAGATACATCATTTTAGTCTTTTAGGGCCACACGTAAATAGACTAAGCACCTGTCTTTATTAAGTGTCTGTCGTCTAGGGCTATTTTCGTACAGATTTTGACGTTATCCTGTTAGGATTTTAATACCTTTATATCGATATTTATATGTTTTCCTTGGGTGGAATATTATTTGTGGACTACTATTTGTGATCACTAGCTTTCTATTCTTGCTGAAAAGGTAGCTCTGGGTCAGCTATTTGCGGAAGAACTAAAATAACAACTATTTTGGTACTGCTTATTTACAACTAAATATGTATGCTGATTGTCTTTACATAAGACGAAACCGGAAACCTGTATGCTAATCTAAATTAACGTCTTTTTGAATAGAATCAAACCCAAGTTATTTGAAACGGTAGAAAGAAGAGACTTTATTTCGTCCAGTCAATACGACGCTGGAAAGAATTGATTATTTTAGAAGTCTGTGATCCGCTGCATTTACACGTATCTCGTTTAGTTTAAACCACTCAGTTATTCCATGGACTTTTGAAGTGCGGAGAAATAGGATTCTCCAATTAAAAGAAATTGTCCATAACATCAATGTAATCAAATGGTTATTGCTCAAAATTTACTGACTACGTAACTATTATTGTTCTGTATCGGAAAGAAATCGTGTCCAACTATAATTGGAATGGACTTGATAAAAAGAAAGGATATATGTGTACATGTCATCGTGAAGACATTTAGTCTGTTTATAGATTAGGTATCACCCTAGACCATAGCTACATGTAAAGCCGTAACCTGGGGAAATTGTTCTTTGATATATTTATTTGATTACTTGCATGGAAAACATTAATTTGTTTTTTATTAATTTGAATTAACGGAAAGCCATGATCACATTTGTGTAGCCTAACAATGCAGTCCAAACTTGTTCGGGTAGTTCTGAATTACATTCCCTGACAGTAGTTAAGGTTCAACATCCAACAAAGGGTGGCTTAGGATTCGGTAATCCAGTAGCTTGTGTTGCTGAATGAAAACCGCCATAACTGTGTCTTTGACCCGTTAGATCTTTAGACAGCATAAATCATTCGTTTCTTTAATTTGGTAATTCCAGCGAACGTTCCACATATTGCAACAATCGTCTGCTGAAATTGTGTCGCCCGCTTTAGGATATTTATGGATTTGTTAATCCAGGCTGTCCAACAGTTGTTCCAAATCTAGCCGCCTCCGGCAGAATAACAGGATTGAGGTAAGTGATTATTTCATCATAATTCCATTAACTTTTGAAATGGTCGCCAGCGATTGAATTAGACGAGATGGCTTTACATCAGTAATTTAATTAATGGTGATATTTATCGTCATTTTAGTAAAGAAAAAGGGGGAAGTGCAGCTTTGTAAATCAATACAGATCAGTCTACATGATCTTATCCCAACTGCCGTTACTGTAAGAGGCTGACAATAGAATACTATTAACATCCACGTGTTTAATGATGACTCTATAACCATCCTCCATGTTATCATCTTAGAGACAGAAAAACAAATACATAACGAGCTCATTTTTGCAAACTGATCTCTATATGCCACTAGTTCAGCTCTGAACGTAGGTGTCATTACACTCGCCCTGTACGTTCAGGAACCGTCCTATTGAATCCTTGTCGAAACTTAAATCGGCCCCAGTCAATTTTACTGGGCAACTTTTTACTGCTAAACGGTGGGGGGTTAATCCATGTGAACGCCTGTGCAATGTAAAGGAACGTCTTAGTGAGAAAATAAGACCTTGCTTACCTCGCGGGGGGACAGTATGAGCGACACAACACGCTGTTAAAAATACGTCCCCTCCTATCAAGTTGCCTTTTCGCCGTCATGACACTCTAAATATAGGTCAACGTCCATATTTAGGAATGTCGGACATAAAAGACGAAACGAAATTTAAGTAAAAATTGGAATCTTTGAAAAAAATGTAAGAATCTTCAGTCATTTATTGCTTTGCCCACCTTTTAATACTACAACAGAATAAAACAAACATTCTAGGTGTATAATGAGCGATAAAACAATTTACTTTCATATTCAGTATTTATTGTGGGACTTGGTGACCGATAATGTTTTAAGACATACACCTTGCTTCTCTAGGTTTTTTTTTTTTAAAAAAAATAATACATAAATAACAAGGTTGTTTCTTTTTATAAAAAAGAGGAAAAACATATATCAAACTCTGAAACAAAACTTTTCCAATTAAAAATGACAAATATGCATATAAAGCAAATATCAAGGAATAAATACATAAATATATAGATTTAAATTATTCTCAACTAGACTCTACATCACACATACATCTATAGAATAAATACATAAATATATGGATTTAAATTATTTTCAACTAGACTCGTACATCACACATACATCTATATAGATAGATATGTTTTTCCGCTTTTTTTAAAAAAAAAAACAACCCAACTTGTTATTTATGTATTTTTTTTAATTAAAAAAAAAAATAAAACTAGAGAAGCAAGGTGTATGTTTTACTATGATTTTGTTAAAACATTATCGGTCACCAAGTCCCACAATAAATACTGAATATGAAAGTAAATTGTTTTATCGCTCATTATACACCTGGAATGTTTGTTTTATTCTGTTGTATTATTAAAAGGTGGGCAAAGCAATAAATGACTGAAGATTCTAATTTTTTTACTTAAATTTCGTTTCGTCTTGTATGTCCGACATTCCTAAATATGGACGTTGACTTATATTTAGAGTGTCATGGCGGCGAAAAGGTAACTTGATGTGAGGGGCCGTATTTTTTCAAAGATTCCAATTTTTTACCTAAATTTCGTTTCGTCTTGTATGGCCGACATTCCTAAATATGGACGTTGACCAAAATTTAGAGTGTTATGGCGGCGAAAAGGCAACTTGATAGGAGGGGACGTTTTTTAACAGCGTGTTGTGTCGCTCATACTGACTCTAGCGAGGTAAATGAAATGAAATGAAATGGAGTTTAACGTCCTACTGTTCTGCTCCTAACCTGGGCTAATGAAGACGGGCATACGCCATACAGTGTGCTATGAGGGAAATTTTGCCCGGACAGCGGCACTACGGCCTACTCTTATATCGAATTCCAACTGCCAAGGGATCTTTTACGTGCACGCCAATGTGTACACGGGACCTCGGTTTTTCGTCCCATCCGAACGACTAGACAGCTTTCCTTGTCAGCCCCTCCGTCCTGCATCACTGACAAGGGAGAACCACGCCGGAAAATCTGGATGAACTTTCTCGGCCAATGCAGGGATCGAACACCCGACCTCCAGGCTAGCGAGCTAGCGTCTTACCCACTTAGCCACGTGATCCCCCTCTAGCGAGGTAAGGAAGGTTTTATTTTCTCACTAAGATTTCCCTTTACATTGTACAGGCGTTCACACGGATTGACACCCCACCGTTTAGCAGTACAGTAAAAAGTTGCCTAGTAAAATTGACTGGGGCCGATTTTAGTTTCGACAAGGATTCAATAGGACGGTTCCTGAACGTACAGGGCGAGTGTGATGAGGCCTACGTTCAAAGCTGAACTAGTATGCCCCAGACTTTATCTTGTGTCTTGTTACATCGTGTAAATGGTTTATTCCAATGCCCTTGGTAAATATAAATCTAATATCCAATGAAGCCGTCGTCTGAAAAGTTGACATGTGTTACAAAGTCCTTATATATACAGTATGTGCGTTTTATTAAGTGAAATGTCAAAAGGCACTGGAATGCTCTGAACCTACTTCTAGCTATTAAGGCCTATAGTTACGTTTTGAAATTAAAGTTAAACATGCATTATGTAAGAGATAAATCTGCCTATTGCAGGTCTTTCTTTAGGCCTGAAATGTTATATAAACTATTAATTAGACATTTATTAACATGAAAAGACCACAATCAGTTCTCGATGCCATCTTGTCTGTCCGATTTTCAATGGATTTGAATCCTATCTGTTGTTCAACGTCTGTTGATGATTAAACGCAAAAATGGATAATCGAGACTTTGGTACTTATAGTGACAGCGCTAACAATGACAATCGAGGCTAAAAAGACTTTAAAATACGGTTTTCTTAGCTTAGAGTGAAGCAATTGACTGAAATTTTCAGCATATTCTCTTTACATCATCTAGTTTTTAACTATGCTAGTGATAACTCACCCGACAGCTGTTTATCTAATCCCCCATAATGTATCTTTAAAGTGATCGTTAATGGAAAGGGGGCGGGGTGGGTGTGGAGGGGGGGGGGTAAAACAAAGAAAGTTAAGTATCACATTTTGTCATAGAAAAGAATTATATCAATGTTTAAAACTTGGATAATCTTAATCTTATATGATAGTATTGTATTTAAAAGAAAACCACCAGCCCCCCCCCCCCCCCAATAGTAATAAAAATTATATTTGCAGACATAAGGAAAACCACACATTGTCATATACTAATAATATTAATAATAACTTAATTGTTTTGATACTGAGACTAATAATTATCTACACTTATATGACCAGTTAGTATCATCAGTGATTACTGAACCATCCTACACATAATGAATCAATATCAAACCTATATAAGGTTCTATTACTGCAACATGAAACTCTATTTAAGATTTTATTTATGAGAAAAAAATTCTTAAGACTTCTTGATCTGCTAACCATGTCAATATTACTTTCTACGTCACGAAACAATAATCTAGCGAACTTTTAATCTAGAAGCAATTTCCGAAGACGAAAAGATTTTTTCCTGGATTTATTCTAGAAAAGAACATGTTTTACCAAGATTGAAGGTTCGCAGAGATTATACACTGGTAGAGTATCCTTGTCTAGAAATCTTTCTTCAAACATAATATTAATCTACAAGATATTTGGAGACGTAATTAACAGAAAATATTACAACTTGTCAGTGGAGACGACATTACTATGAAATAAATGGACAGGACAGATAGCCCTATCCAAATAATTTTACACATTAGCATTTAAGGTTTTCTCAATCCTTACAACTGATACCAAGCCCAAAATAACAGAAAGCATTCCACACGTTAAAAATGTATTATGTAAGAGCCAAATCTGTCTATTGCAGGTCTTTTTCTGGCTTCAAATTAATGTTATATAAATTATTATTTTGGCATTTATTCAAGCCCATAATCAACCCTCTAGAGCATCTGATGACAAGGATATCGAATGGATTAGACACTTTCCCCATATCTTCGTTATATATACATGCCACGGTAATATACATGCCACTCACGTAGACTGTAGATTGAGGGGCTGAAAATTGAAACTTCGTTTTTGTTTATCGTGGTAATGGTACTTAACAATCGAGACTATCTAGTCATACCTTGTCAAAGCTGTACACATTCATTTTTTTAATGGGGTTTAACGGCCACTAACACATAGTTCAGTTTTATTTCAATAATTCGCTTGCGCGTAGGGGTCTGTAGCAGTGGGAGGTTGGACAGGCGACCCTACTCCTTGTCAAGTATTTTATTTTTGAACATTTATAGCAAGGACGACCGGCCCTTTTTCTAAATCTTACATAATAAATTAATCGTTACTGTCTGATTCATCGTAAATTTTAAACGGATTTCTTCGATTATGAACAAACTACTTAACGTTGGTTATTATAAATTTACCTGTGTGTTTGTAATGAACTCCCGTTCGATAAAATCCATTGCACAACTAATTATCACAACGATGAAAACAAGTTCTCTCTTGAAAAATTGAAATATCACAAACTTTTCCCAGAGAAAAATACCAATATGGAAGATGGTTACGTCACTCTGCGGAAGATATCATTTCGTATTAGGGGTGACAGCATAGGAAATTCAAGTACAATTACGACAAGAATCCATGACCACTCGGACCAAAGACCACTCGGTTCAAGACCAGTCGGACCAACTGATAGACCACTCAGCCCAAACAAATAGACTACTCGGACCATACAAAAAGACTATTCGGACCCAACAGAAAGACCACTCGGACCAATAATAAAATGTTGTTTTAATAAATTGATAATTGCGTTTGTTTTAATATAATTACTCGAACCAATAATAAAGTGTTATTTTAATAAATTGATAATTGTGTTTATTTTAATATGACTACTCGAACCAATAATAAAGTGTTATTTGAATAAATTGATAATTGTGTGTGTTTTAATATGACTACTCGAACTAATAATAACGTGTTGTTTGAATAAATTGATAATTGTATTCCAAATCGCAAAATATCGAGAACCACACTTGTAGTCACGTTT